TATCACTTTATGTGTTATGTATTAGTTTAATTAGGCTGGATAGTATATATGAGTTCTTTATTTCAGCCTCAAAGGAGCTGCGCTAACAAGCTTTTTCATGAAATAAAAGTAACAAAAATGGCTTTGATGGAGCCAGGAATCTTGATACTCATCTTGTTACCGGCATATTGTCATTTTCAGGCATTAACACAGGACTTTTTGTTACTTTCAATCGCTTGGTTTCAAATTTCAGACATTTGGAAACTCGGGAACGCGATACTAACACTGTGATCAGACTACAGATAATGCTATAAGAATATTTAGCTGGGCAAAGTGAGTACGGAGAATGTTGATGATATCATGTGGATATAAAGCATATTTTTAACATGCTTAGAATATGCAATTTCCGTAGGGATTACCGAATATGGGAATCTACATTTTCAACTCTTGAAGAATAATGGTTCGTTTCATTCCGCTCCTTAACATGCTGCCAACGAATCATTTCCATATCTAGTACTTCTAATATCCTATCTTCAGTGCAACTCATCCTTTCAGTAGAGGGTTAGCAGCGTTTGCGCTGCGTTACTTGTAAGCTTTAAGACATTTTCTTCCTATGTAGTCTGATAGAGAAAAGAATGCTCTATTTTTCTATGCTATTTGATCATACTTCAATTAGTATCATGATAATGAAATTTTGAGAAAATCTGTTTTCTTGGCATATGCCGCGGTACTATAAACGCTCATTTATAAAAAAAGGCGGATGAGTATTTTTTGAATAACTTTTGATAGGAACAAGATAGAGACCTGTGGCTTTCACTGTTGAAAAGAGGGGATGAAGATGTATCGAATCGTATGTTAAAAAAATTTCCTGATGTGGTTTTTGTAAGCTTTTCAATTGACCTTTTTAGGAATAAACTAATGTAATATATTGTTTACAGTGAATTTACAATTATCAAGTATAGATTCAACCGACTAATCGAAGATCTACAAACTACTGAAGAGTGAGATGAATAGTATGTATTCTAGTCGAGCCTCTAATACGACTTTGTAGTGGTTTCTGTGAAAAAAAACTCACTTTTGTAGTTTCTCTTGCTTCATAAAAAAAGAATTTTTCCGACAGTTAGAAAATTGAATAAAAATACTTCGAAAACCAATATTAGAAAAACCTGTAATATATAAATCGATTCATCTTCATCTCCTCTTTCCAACGGTGAAAACCGCATTATTCTCTCTGGTTTCTATTAAAAATTATTCAAAAAAATACTCACCAGCATTCCTGATGCGGTGATATATGCGGAGGAAACAGATCTTATCGAAATTTTATTATTATGATATTAATTGAAGTATGATCAAATAGCATAGAAAAATAGAGCATTCTTTTCTCTATCAGACTATATAGAAAGAAAGTTTCTTAAAGCTGATTATAAGGAATTACAATACCTGGGCCACTACTTTTGAGCTGCCCTAAGTAATTATATAAGTGGAATCATATAGATAACAAGGAAACTCTGACGATTTTATCTGAAGTAGATGCAGGTTAGAGCAAGTGACTTTTCACTTTTCTCACTGTAAAACAATCAAATCAAACTCTGGATTAGTTATATCTGCTTTAGAATGACTATAGAAACTGCGTAAGGCTTCTGTTTCACTACTATAGTGCTTTTGTGAAACATGGTTCTTAATGAGTGCTGAAATATATGGCGAGTAAGTTGAACCTATCTCCTGTAGCCTACCCCAAAGATTACAGCAAGCATGCCGATTTTCTTTTAAACTACTGACAGACCATGACAATGGTGTCGATATTTCTATCACAGTCTATAACGAACTAGTTCGTCTTTTATGGTTTGCTGAGTTTTGCTCTCCTTATAGTTTGTGATATTGATGATAAAGCTTCTCACAGTGGTTCAAGCATCTTCATCCTGTTTAATATTTTAATGCTGTAAGAATTGTGCTGTAAGTTTTTCTTCGCTCGCTATTTCTATATGTTTTCTCTTCCCTGGCATGTGTTGATGGACACAAAATTTAATAGGACTACCAATTCTATATTAGCTTTGTAGACTAATTAACTATCTACCAAACCCATAAATTATGAATCATCTCTATATGTGATCTGCGTCTCATAATAGATTTACTCTATGAAAACAATGATTCCACTTGTTTTCGACAATATAAGTTGACATCCAGATGAGTTAATAAAATGCATGCAGCATATTTTGGTGAATAGTTACTTAATAGAAACATCCCAATGACTACTCTCCTATAGAAATATTTATTAACATAGATAGAAATGGTGTGATTTACGAAAAGAAAACTTCTGTGATCGATTTTCAAAACAGAACCGTGTAAGATTAAAAAAAAAATATGCCAGCTAGTAAAAGAAAAGTTGTTTATACCAACTGGTATAAAATACTCTATCAAACTGGGATGAACCAGCTCTTAGCCGTTAGTGGCTCAAACTCCGGTCAGAACGCAACGAGGGCAAACGTGCTCTTTTCCGTAGAAAAGCTTGATAATTCGTCGAATGCGTGAATCTTGACAGACAGCTAATTTAAGCGAAAAAGAAGCTGTTATTGATATTTAACCGAGTTGTCTTTTATGTTCGCATCTTCAAACATGGCTGGTTGCATCAATCCTACAATGATATGTACGGCATGTGCTCGATGATCCCCACCAAAAGATAAAAAGACATACGGATGATGATCTTTGTCCTCGTATCAATAGCTAGTAGATGCGAATTACGATGGATCTATACGATCATATCGAGAATCTGAAGGGTCTGGATGTGGATGTGGTGTGGAGCGATAAGCGTGAGTTATCTCTTCGACAACATCGCACTCTCACCCACACCCGCACCCACAACAAAACTGATGCAGAGATCTTAATACATGTTTTTTTCACAGATGGTGTAGGAGCTAGATGAAATATTTAACCACAGAATAAATTTTATTGTATATATACTATGCATATTACAATGAATTAAATTTCTGAATTGAGAGTATCCAAATACAGAGAAATCATATTCCGTAAACCTGAATTATATGAAGGATAATTTCTATGAGTTCTTTATTATTCTATTCATGCTATCATCTTATCATAATGATATGTTAGTTGACTTTGGTCTATGCAGCTTTATATCAAGTTTCCATAGACAAAAATAAACTACGCAATCATTACTATAAGATGTTAGCATGATTGGAATAATTAAGAACATCAAAGCTATCGCTGAAGTAAATCAGGTTTATGAAATACTATTGCTCTCTACACGAATATTCTTAGTTCACAAGCTAAAGGTGGAAAAGTGAGTCGACAATTTAACACTTATGGTTTTGTGTCTTGATTTCATCAAACACCAAATTCGAACCAACACTCGCTCTAAAACATATAATTCAAAGGTTTGTGGAATCACTGTTAGATTCAAATCACGTGAACCCGGGTGCTTTGCGCCAAATTTGATAAAAATTCGTTATTTTCTCAAAAAATCCTTTTCGTGACCAAAAAATGAGAGTTATTAACAAGGGGGAAACGGCGGACTTTTGGACTTGAAGTTACTTTGAGCTACTTTAAGCTACTTCAAGTTACTTTCAGCTACTTGAAGTAGCTTACTTTGAAATATTTTTCAACTTCAAATTTACCTGAAGTTACTTGAAGTTACTTTAAGCTACTTGTTCCTACTTTGGGCTACTTGGGTGGTACTTTGAGCTACTTCAAGTAGTCTACTTTGACGTACTTTGACGTACTTTTCTACTTCAAGTCCGCCGTTTCCCCCTTGGTTATTAAGTTCAAGGATATAGTAAATTAGGCTGCTATCAACTATTCATAATAGGAAACACGGAGCACAGATGAAAACGGTTAACCGATGTAATGATTGAGCATCGACAGTGATAAACAGTGGAACAGCGAAAATAAACTGTTGAATAATCGTCAACATTGTATCCTTAGTATCATTCGTTCACTTTCAACTCACTTTTATTTTTAGATTCTCGTTTTCTGTAAACAAGCACAACTGTCATCACTAAAATCATGGGAAGCGAAGAAACTAAGCTCAAAGTGACTGAACAACACCTTGATCAAGTTTTGTTACTCTGTACATTGATGGTGATTAGTTCATACGCACTGCTTGTGAACCGACAGTGGCTATTCATCATTATTGGCTCAGAACGTTGATTTTGACATTTCTTTAGAGTCCAAATAATAAGCAAACATCACAAACGGAGAGCGTAGTATTAGATTATTAGAAGACATATATCGGAAGGTGTGAGTGCGAGCATTAGTGTTCGTATGGGTGCGGGTGGCTGTTGGTATGGGTGTGGATGCAGATGGCTGTCAGCATAAATGGGAGCGGGTGCGG